CGCAGATTCTGTGTAGGTATAGTTATCGGTTGAAGTTCCAGGCAATGCTTTAACTGCAGTGTTCCTACTCTTTTATAGACAACAAATTCAAGAACTTTTAAGGACTTTTAAAAAATTCCTAATATACTAATATTATAAATATATATTACTAATATTACTAATATTATTAACATTTCACATACACCTAATATTTATTTTAAAGTTTCATAATGATGATGTTTTGAATGTTGTTAAAACTGAACGCTTAAAACAACTTATTTAAATTCATGTACAAAGAACCGTAATATCATTTGTTGAATTCAAAACTATTCAATTGCGGTTTCTGAAGTATTGATAAAATGCATTACTTGTCATAGTTCATGTATAAGGTTTAAATTTAAGAATTTTAAATTAAGAAGTTCTGTTTCTGTTTTTTCGTTCAGTTTTTGAAAGCAGCACAGTACAATTGTTAAAATAACACATACAACTTTAAATTCAAGAACTTTCACTGACCTATGTTTGTTTTTAAGTACTTTCCAGGGCATAAAATCAAGTACAATGTAAAAAAAAAACACTTCTTGCTGCCTTAAATATTTTAGTTAAATCAAATGAACTTTTCTAGTCATCTTAACTTACATCCATCAAACTGACTAATAAAAATGAAGTAAAACTTTGTATACCTTAAAAGTTGAAACCTGATTAACTTATTATTTAAAGCAACATAGGGCAGCACAGTGGCGCAGTGGGTAGCACAAGTGAGTAGCACAAACTCGCAGCAAAAAGGTCGCTGGTTCAAGCCTCGGCTGAGTCAGTTGGTGTTTCTGTGTGAAGTTTGCATGTTCTCCCCGTGTTCATGTGGGTTTCCTCCAGGTGCTCCAGTTTCCCCCTTCAGTCCAAAGACATGTGGTACAGGTGAATTGAATAAATTAATTGGCCGTAGTTTATGTGTGTGAATGTAAGAGTGTATGGGTGTTTCCCAGTGTTGGGTTGCAGCTGGAAGGGCATCTGCTGCGTAAAGCTTATGCTGGATAAGTTGGCGGTTTATTCCTCAGTGACGACCCCAGATTAATAAAGGGACTAAGCTAAAAAGAAAATGAATGAATGAATGAATAAAGCAGCATAAAAAGATTTGTTGCCTTGACTTTTTGTCATTAAATTTTTAAAGTGTACTGTCAAGAAGCGAGGGAACCCGGAAACTCAAATGTATACCTTAAAATAATAACTACAAATGTAACAACTTTGTATTTCAATTGGCACCAGGCCTTGCTGATTATCAAAACAACATCCATAAGCAAACTTGCATTTATTCATAGCCTCATTCTAATATTTTATGGCCAACATCCAATCAATTCCCACTGGATGCATTCAATTCCCACACTACATTTTTTCCTCATTACTCAGTATCAGAAATATGTCATGTTACGGAAGTCAAACGTGTCGTGAAAAGCTATTCAGGTTGATTTTATGTCATAGTATGACTCACAGAAGCTAATTAGGTCTGTTCCTAGTGAACTGCATTGTCTTATTGCACTTTGCATTGAACACTTCCCTTCTGTGTCTGCAGCTTTGTGTCGCTGTGATGTTGTGAATTAAAGACTTCACAGCCAGCTGATGACACAGCACAGAACACTGCAGCCTTGTCAGACAGCGATCACATGACTTCTGACAGGATGCGATTCCCTCGAGGACAATTATCTGAGGCCACTCTTCCCATGAGAGGGAAAAGTCAAAGATGCATGCAGATGCTACAAGAAAAAGACGAGTATTCACACCAGCCGCACCAGCTTTTTCCTGCTCTCTGACATATTGTGAGAAACAACTAGTCAGGTCAGAGTGTAATCGGGACAAGAACTATATGGTTTCTGTAATTTAGTTCATCAGTTAAGCTGCATTTACAAATATAAACAAACAAATGAAAGAATAAATGAATGATTTCTGTGTTCTAGTTGAGTATATTGAATAAAATTATGTTCTATTACATCTAAATTCACGTTATTTCAATATATTATTTGTATACTGCAATGATAAATATAATAAAAATAAAAAGTTTCCTTGTTATACGGGTATCTAAAAGTTCATTTTAAATATGTAAATATGCAGTATTGTCTACTGCAACTATAGGCACAAATTATGAATGAATAATTTAATTAATTATTCTATCCTGGTCTTAAACCATTGGCAGAGCTGAATAACTTTCTATAATTGGTCTTACAGTATATGCAAAATAAATTATTGAATGGTCCTGTACAAAAACCATAGGCTCACTTGATGCACATCACATATGTTTTACTGAACAAATAAGTAAGGAGTGGTTGTTGTCCAGTGGCCAGCATATGAGGTAATTGAGCAATAAAGCATATATAATTTGTAACTTTTTCCTTTGAACGTCCTTTCTCTGCTTCTAGGAATATGTTTTATATTTTACCAGAGTTCATAAGGGTGTGTGAGTGTGTGTAAGGGGGATGTTACACTCTTTGCCTCTCTTTGCCTTGATGTGCAGTAAACAGGCTTTGGAGAGCCCAGCTGTGAGGGCTTATTGTTGGAGTCGGTAGGAAGTGCTGATAGCTTGCGCAGCTGAACAAAAGCGGGATGAGCGAGTGGAGGGGCGCTCCAGACTCGTCGGCTCCAGCCGAGATTCTCTCTCACAGTCCCGATACTGCACTCCCATTGTTCAGCTCCTCCTCCGCCTCCCCTCAACCCCGCTCAGCTGTGACCGAGCCAGAAACGCTCCAGTCCCTCGCGCTCCTGCCTGCAGGATGCAGAGCTATGCACTCGCTCAAAACAACGTGCACAAATCCATGCACGCGCATTTAGATTTTATTTTAAGTGTTAAAAAAATAATAATAATTGTCGTTGCACATTGCGAGTTATCAGTGTTTTATCATTTTCTTGTCACAAAATTGCTTCTTTTTCATTTTGACCTATTTAATTATGCATGTTATAATGTTTATTTTTATTTAAAACATTATATGCAACAGATTTGTATAAAAAAATAACGTTAATTTACCAATTATTATATTTAATTAATACTTAGTGTATTTTTAAATAAAGTTTAGCATTTAAAAATAATTAGCATTCGCCTTATTTTTATACAATAAAATAAAAGCATTGCTGGAATCTAAAAAAAAGCCCCTCCGGCTCAATAGCCCTTTTTCACTTTGTCTCTCACTTTTTGTGTCTTTACAAGAGTCTTTCGGGACGACAATGGCAGTTTGCAGGTGCGCGGAGCGGTAATCGCATCAGAGGTTTTAAGTGATAAATGAGCGCTGACCAGTTTGTTCTCAGGATTCCGCAGCGCGCAGGTGAATGGGGGAGAGTGGAGGGATGCCAGCCTGTTGTTTGTTGTTGCTATAGGGACCGCCCGCTCGGCGCCAGGCTGACAGGCGTCAAGGCTCGAATGAATGGGTGACGTCACGGCGCTGGCGCCCGGCAGTCTGCTTCGGTTTGTTTGGACAATCTGGGGGAAGAATCAGAGCACAGCAATGCAAAGTTATGCGAGTGCGCGCTCAAGGCGACGCGCACATATGAAGGAATTTGGAAGTTTGCGCGAGGAAACGCATTTAAAGAAAGACAAAGAGACCATCATTGAAGGAAAATAAACAGATTTGAATAAAAATGAGCTTCCCAGCACAATAGAATAAAGCTCCAGTCTACAAGTAATGCACTTACTGTAGGATAATAGACTATGAATACTTTATGTGCATGCACAACAGTTAAAAGCACACTAAAATGTATTGCATTGTGTACAGAAACAGATCCCTCTTTTGCAGTGATGTCAGAAGAACTTTTTGTAAAAAACATTACACTCTAAACACTTACCTTCCTCTAAAAAAAACTTATGTGCAATGGTAAGATTTTATGGATGTTAAAGATTAAATAAGCATTACAAATAAAGTTTGACCACTGCTCCTTTTTAACAATCTGTAGTTTTTTAAACTATCTGCACACATACTTTGATAAAATACTCATTTCTAGTCAAATATTTTATTTTTAATGCATTATTTTGAAAGCTTGTCAGGCAAATCAAAATCTGTATGACAAACATGCATGAAGCCATTTTGTTATCATGTGACAAGAAAATAATAACCACAGGATTGCATTAGATACTTTAAAACTTTTGTTTGGGTTTATGAGATGAAAACATTATATTCAACATGCATTACAGTATACATAATATAAGTATAAAGTGTCCTCTTTCTCTGTTTTGCTTACTTGATATTTGCATTATGGACACAATAAAATAATTCACAGAGTGAATTTATTTAGACAGTCATGAGTTAAGATCTCTAAGAAACCTTTTATGATGTTGTTTTCTGGTTTGTTTAATAGGGAATGAAGTATAACGTTTGATTGTTTATGTTTGAAATCTACATTTGAATTAGCTACACTCATGTGATGAAAATAATAAACAGACAGAATTCTTTTAGATTCAGTGTTTAAAGGGGGTTGTGATGTATTGTTTATAGTTTGTTTAAAATGATGTTCCCTCAACTTATGAATACCCCGCATCCACCTCCCCAATAAATCATAACATTTTTATAAATGTTAGGTCATGGTGCCATCATGTCCACTCACATGTGTTCAGGGTGCAGTTAACTCAGCAATGACAGATATATTTGCAACAAGCTGAATGGATGGAAACAGAGATGCTGATGGAACATTTTACAGTATGCTTTGTTTCTCGCAGCAGCCCACATACGAAGAAAAGCTTGTTTCATTTGAAAGTAATAACTGTTGCCTGTTGATCGTCGAGCACCCCCACCCTCCCCTTGATCTGTCTGCTTCACCTGTGGAGTAAACGGACAGCTGGATCTCCACACATCATCCGCAGAAGACACACATTTGTTTCCATTTGTAACACCATCCCCCCGAGCATATTGAAACTGCGATAACAGAGCCGTGCCTTCATTGGCTGAGCGAGGGACTCCGCAAAAATCCTATTGGCCCGTTCCCGCAAACACGAGTGTTTGGTGACGCCCCCAAGCCCGGAGACCCTTTAAATAACGAACAGCTCAGCCTCTGAGAGCATGTGGTGAACTGTCATCGCACTATCGACAACTCAACAAGCCTTTAAAAGGAGTACGAGCACCTCGCTTCAGCTATTCCTCTTTGACTTACTCGCAAATAGCCAAAATGAAAGTTGTGGGACCTACCTGCGCGCTGAAGAGCAGCAAAGTTGGAGGAGAGGATGTTGTCCGCTGCCTCTCCGATCAGAGCTTGGCCATCTCCAAATGCAAGATCCCGCTGCTGGACGAGCAGATGACCATGTTTCTCCAAGACATGAACAGCTGCTACAGCAAACTGAAGGAGCTGGTGCCCACGCTACCGACCAACAAGAAAGCCAGCAAGATGGAGATTCTCCAGCATGTCATCGATTACATCTGGGACTTGCAGGTCGAGCTGGAGAGCAAGAAGAACCAGAGCTCCGCTCCCCGCACTCCGCTCACAACACTCAACGCGGAGCTAGCCAGCATCTCTGTGGAGGTAAATATCGCACATGCTTAAGATATAATGCTTGCGTCTCTATATGCATATCAATAATGTTTGTCTGAACGACCCAACTCACTATGTTCCCTCTTTTTGTCTTGCAGAACGGCTGTTCAGATGACCGGATCATGTGCCGTTAAAGCAGATACTCCCGGTGGCTTCACGTCAACAGATCATCGAAGCATCGTGATCACGGTGCGCTGAGGTGAACGAACAAACAAACCCCGATGGACCAGTGACGCCGTGAACTGTGTCGGGAGAGTCTCATTCTCCTGTTGTAGAGGAAACAAACTTTCAGTAGAGAGTCACACAAATCTGTGGACATGACAAGCGTGACGTGCTCTCTCCTTCTCTGAGATCTCTCCCCGGACACACACCGATACGCGTGTGTGTTTGTGTCTGTGTTTAGCTGTGGAATCCATGGCGATTATTCACTTACTGTTCATGCATTTCCCTCTCGGTCAAAGTTTCTCCAATGTTTTTGTAACTTTTTAGAAAAAAATACTATTTTGTTGTCAGATTTCTCAGATTACTGAGCGAAAGAATGTATTGTATATTACAATGCCATATGATGTGAACGCTTTATTGTGTTTTTTACAATGTATATTGTGTTTTTTTTATTAAAACATGAAAATCAAACTTATCTTGGAGTTGTTGATCAATTTTGTGAGTGAATGGAGCCGATTGAGAATTCTGTTATTGGGAGTCTTTTATGCTTTATTATCTAGTAGTTGTAGGCTTAATAAACGTTTAACTGTAACATGTTGTAATCATGTCACTACATAATTGTTAATTTAGGGTGGCCTGTATTTAGCCTGACGTCTATCGTTACAGATCAGTTTTATGAGTTCTCACTTTACACTTTTGTCATTGGTGATTACACTGAAACTAAACTTAGCCTATCAGTACAGCTTTTCACTGCAGAACCAAATTAGCAGTTTTAAGTCACTAACTACACAAATAAAAATTGTTCATGATATAATTGAATAAACCTGATATAAAAGGAGAAGTTTTAACTTTAAATTTTAAAGATGTTACATTAGAAAAAAGGTAACAGTGTTAATTAACTTTCCAAGCCCAAAATATTGTTTAACATTACAAGATCGGTCTAAACACGGTTAATTTAAACCAATACAACTCAATAATTAGGGTAAAATAATGAATATCCAATAGGCTATATGAAACATTCATCACATTTCACAGGGAGTCTGAATTCAAAAATATGAGTTTAATGAGAATGATTAAACTTCAATATATCATTTAATCTTGCTAAAATCATTGCTGAAACAAATAAACATACCTATTTAAACTATTACAATTCACAACATATATACTAATTAAAACTATCAAAAACGGCAAGTTAGTTTATCTACAACTGTTTAATCTTAATATATTTTTGTAAAATTAAAACGAGTTTACCTTGACATTACTATAATTTAAAAGAAAATTCACATGGAAAAGTCTGCAGCTAGGCCTATATGACAGATAGCCTAACTAATATCATCAAAAAGAGGGAAAACTAATTAAATAATTAGGCTTTAATTTGTTAGAGACTCATCAGAAGTTATTTTTAACTACAGTGACACTCGTTAACAGTTTTAAAAGTCTTATTCTAGGCTTATTTTGTGCATCTCTGTATTTCAATGGCGGGTAGCGGAAGGGTTAAGTGTTTTCCGAGAAAAAGGCAGTTCGTTATAAGATTTATTCCGTCTCCCTGGTGCAATGTTTTTCTCATTTCCCTGCGGTGTGATGCGCGCAGCTGCAGGCCTCGCGATGTGCGGCTCGGCCAGTGTGTGTGATTGTGTTTGTGTGATCGCTTTGTGCCAAGGGCAGGGGAGGGCGCAGACTGAACGGCGCCGCCGCACACCTGGGGAAGTTCAGGTTAAATCGCTCCACATTCCTCGGCACACAGCTGATTGAAACATTAACAAACAGTAATCCGCAAGCCCGGGCTGCAGATGGGCCGGGAACACGGCCAAGGAACTCTCACTCCCTCTGTATAGTTTCCCACATACTACAACGAGAGCTTCTTTTAATAAGAACTTAGCGCATTTAAACATAGCGCCACACACTGCAGCCAACTTTCCCACTAACATCAACTCAAACTCAACGGCAAAACAAAAGACAATGGGGACATGCTGTTTCCAGGCCATTGCGAGATACTTGAAATGAATTGTGGTTATAAAGAGTGTTCCCACCCTAAATTAAAGCAATTTCATGTTAACTAAGTGGCGTTTAGCCTAGCTTGTGTATTTGTGTACTGTGTGTTAGCCTACACCAACTACGAGACGGTTTTGACCGAAATATGATGGATATTCTGTAAGAAACCCCAATTTTTAGAAAATTCTTATGCGGGTTGTTTTTATTGGATGATACTTACGATTTATTAATGATGAGGTGGATAAATGGAGTCACTTTTTGTCAAAGAGGAAACTAGTTTTGTTAGTTGAGGCCGGACAGTTTAGCGTCTAGCGCCCTTCTGTGGTCACACGGCGAAGCTTGTTTTTTCAGACAAAGTTTTTCAGACTTGTTTTTTGACGAGATTTTACGTTAATATATTTCTTAATATACGTTTTTGTACCATAAACTTCATAAAAACAACACTTGAGTTGTTTATATTTTAAACAGATTTAGACATTTACGGTCCTAGCGCGAGGACACGGTAATTAGGCCAATTTTTGATTGTTTTTGAATCATGGATTTACTTCAAATACAACCAAATGGTAACCACAAAATAGCTCTATTGTATATAGTTTATCAATAGTATATTTATATTATTTTATCTGTTTAGTTAACAGGGACATTGTACATTAATGAAACATTTCTAAACGTACCAGAATTAGCCAAATGCTATTTTTCATCTGTAGGTTAGTTCCTGGACAATATGTTAAAAGTCATCCTAAAGAAAATGTAATTAAAATACATAAAAAATAAAACACACAATTCATTTAAAATAAAAAAATAAATACAAAGTGACCAAGAGACCTAAAGGTCAAATACAATGTAACGTTAAAATAAAACGCTGGTTTTCACACAATTCCTTCATCCTGTCCCAACACAAATCGAGTAAGCTAAATAATTTTTTTTTACTAATTCAAGTTGATTGAGCGTAAAAACAATTAAGCTATTATAAAAAAATCTCAATATTTGTGTTGAAACAGCTCATTATAAATAATTACTCTGAACAAGCAGTTTTTTTTTTTTTTTTGAGTGTACAGGGTTTTAATGTTGACACAACCGAGTGAATAACCATAATTTTAATGTAACCTTAAATACTTAATTTCTATATCTTCAACAGTAGTTGGTAAAACATTCCATTCTTGTGTAGCTTTTATGGAAAATGAGAACTAACTAAGATTAATCTAATATTGACTAACTGATTGAGAGGGAGTGTTTATACAGTTACTGCATTTTTTTACTATTTGCCGTAAAAGTATAATTATAATAGCCAATCTTAAAGAAAAAAGCCTACAGTAACTTTATAATAAAACATATCTACCTACAATACTCTCAAACAGAGCCTATTTGTTTCTGTAGCCTGAAAATGACTTTTAAAATAGCCCCCCGAATGTCAAGTCTGAAGACATCAATCTGGCCCTCACAAACTCCAAACACAAGATTTAACAGAATTCATTTGTTTTTATCTTTCTAATTTCTTTTGTTATTTTCTATGTTATCAGCTCCATAAACCAGGTCAAGGATATCCTCAAATGAGGTTTTGGGACATTTTGTCAGACTTTGCTCATATCTGGGGACAGATATGGTTTAGCACATACACGTGCATGAGGAAATTTCATGGACCTAAACTGAAGAGTATTTAAAAAGAAGCTTTTGTGACTTAACTACACACACAAACCACTGGTCTGTTATAAATTTAATGCAGAGCAGTGACACAGACACATGAGGATAATATATGGGGATTATCAACACTATTTAAAACCATCTTTTATTCATTTAATAAACTTGAAAATACTAAAAACATCCTTCATTTGTACTTTTTCAGCATAATTTTGTATGATAAGCCAGGCATCTTCCTCATAGTGAGAAAAATGGCTATGATAGATGTTTATTATTGTCGTCATATTTCACATGATTTAGACTTGCTGTACCTTTGTCAATTCGTAGTACACTCACCGGCCACTTTATTAGGTACAATATAATGTCCAATTGCTCATTAACGAAAATTTCTAATTAGTCAATTACAATTTTAAAAAATGTGATTTAAATGACTTTGAGCGTGGCATGGTTGTTGGTGCCAGTATATCAGAAACTGAGGATTTTCAGACTCTGGGATTTTCACGCACAACCATCTCTAGGGTTGACAGAGAATGGGCCGAAAAAAGAAAAGATCCAGTGAGCGGCAGTTCTGTGGGCACAAATGCCTTGTTTATACCAGATGTCAGAGACTGGCGGACTGGTTCGAGCTGATAGAAAGGTAACAGTAACTCAATTAACCATTCGTTACAATCAAGCAGTGGTGTAAAGTAACTAATTACAGATACTCAAATACTGTAATTGAGTAGTTTTTCTCAGAAATTGTAATTTACTAAGTAGTTTTAAAAATGTGTACTTTTACTTTTCCTTGAGTACACTTTTAGTGCAGTATCTGTACTTTTACTCTCACTACTTTCCTTCAACCTGCAGTAACTACTTTATTTTTTCTTGTTTATGGGAATTAGACAAATCAGTCCTGTAATTCCTGCCCAGTCAAATTACACATAAAAGGTGAATTACATCATAATGAACTACTTCAAGACATTGCTTCAGATAGCTACTTCCAGCAGGATAACACGCCATGTAAAAACGTGAATCATCTCAGACTGGTTTCTTGAACATGACAATTCACTTGACCAATTCACTGTACTCAAATGGCCTCCACAGTCACCAGATATCAATTCAGTAGAGCACATTTAGGATGTGGTGGAATGGGACATTCATACCATGGATGTGCAGCTGGCAAATCTGCAGCAACTGTCTAATGCTACCATGTCAATATGGACCAAATATCTCAGAGAAATATTTCCAGTACATTGTTGAATCTATGCCACAAAAAGTTAACGCAAACGGAAAAAAGGGGGTCCAATCTAGTACTACTAAGGTGTACCTAATAAAGTGGCCTGTGAGTAAGTGCACCCTATTTAGAGTTCATTTAAATTGTGGTTTGACCCATTAAATATAAACACTTGGCCATTAATAATATCCAAGTTAATACAATGTAGTAAACTCCTGAACCCCACACAGAAACAAACTGCAAAACAGACGTCACGTTTAAATAGAACTTTTATTTACAACGATATCAACATCAAGCAAAATAATTAAGTGTATTGTAATTTACATCCTGCAAAATGTGAGCTTATCTTCCAAATTCACACCCCTTAGTCAATCGATCAGCTCTGAAATCACACCAGAATAACCTCAATTTTCCCGGAATTATCATTTTTCAAAATATACTTTGTCACAATCGACAGTAATCTAGCGAAATGAACATAAACGACAGCGTAGCTTTCCTGAAAAGACTGAAGAGACTGACTTATTATTAGATTACCCACCACATTTCGTTCCTGCATCTGGGAATCCACATTATTTGAAGTCACTGATGGTAAAAGACTGGACTAATGAAGCGGCCGAGGACACTGCACTACAGAGATGAGCGTTTCTGTCTGAATGGACTCTTTATTACTTGTACTTTTAAAAAGCGCTTCTGAACCGCTTTTAAAAGTAGTTTAAAAAACATTTTAAAACCAGTTGGATAGTTACAATTAATCTTGGCAGTTCTGTAGAGAATTCATAATCATCAAAATCTTACAAAACGTCAACTGAAGAGTGAATAAACCGCATGATAAAGAGAAACCCTCCAAAAAGCACAGACAATACTGCTAAAATATTAACTGGCCTCAAAAATAAACAGGTATACTTGGTTTTGTATGTACACAGTATATAGTACAAAATCATAATATGTAGTAATATGTTCATATGATATGTACCTTTTACTCTGCGCATTTGCGCAAAAACATATATAATAAATGGATACATTTCTGTAGTCAAACTTGAGAAAACAGAAAAATAAAAGACTGAAAAAATATCTTTGGATTGTGCATGTTCCTTAAAGGTAGATTTCTGAAGAACCAACAGTGAGAAAGTGAGTTATTGTCCATGATAAGAGCTAGCTTAAAGAGCAACATCAAACATAATCTTTGCTTACCATCTGAAAACTTGCACCATATTTATATATATTCATCTATATAATTTCGGACTGAAGCACGTCTGAAAATGAAGTTAAATCATGAAACCGTCACTGCATAACACTCCTGCGATGTCAAAACCTTTTAGAAAAAAGTGCCATCCAAACAGACTGGCGGTCATCGTTGGGAAAACTTAACAGAAGAAAAAAGATAAAAAATAAAATATTTTCTCCCTTTAAAATAGATGTAAAACCCAGAAGTATTGACCTAAAATATAGATAAGAAGGACCTAAGTGGGTCCAAAAAACTCTGTGCAAAAAAAGTATGTAGTAAAAGCATGTATGATACATATGTAGCATACAGTATTTACAATTCCAATCTTATTCACACACACAAAAAAAAAAAAAAACAGAAAAGAAAAAAGATCCTGTCTAATACTGCAGTACCATTTGCTTTTTATGTGGACGCACCACTCCGGTGGCATTAAGAGGAGGATTATTGCTTTGATATGTGTTAAGTGATGAAGGTCTGGTGCTTACAATTCCCTCGGTTTTCATTCTTGTCCGAAAAAAAAACGAATTCAAAATAGACAATATGCACAGAATCATTCTATAAGGCTAGAGAAGCAAGAAACATATTGCAACTATCCTTTTCCATACTAGCCTTAAAATAAAGTGCTCCCTCACACTGTCAAGTTGTACCACGAGCGTTCCTACTCTGTTCCCCCTGGTGGTGATGTTGTGTACTGCAGTACAGCCACGCGGGACAGGAGAGAGCCTGCTGCACTCGCTACTGGGCAAATTCAGAAAAACCCCACAGGGAAGGCTTGAGTATCTCTCTCTTTCCCTTTCCATGTCTCTTTCCTCTCTCAGTCAACTGTTCTCTTCTGCGAGGCTGAATTTATAGCTTCTTGTTGGACTGATGTGAGTTCGGCCTTTTTTTTTCGACGGAGATTGCTCATCGCCTCAGCAGTACTTCTGTAAAACAAAATAGAAATGAAGAGTTAAGATCTGTTCACATTTGGTTTTTTTTAATAGGTCTGAACACAAAAACTGTTGTATCTTTAGATTAGGCATAGGCTGGTATAAGATTCTAACGCTATGATAACCTTGGATAAAAATATGGCGGTTTCACGGTATTGTGATTACTGCTCTAAAATATATTCTTTTTAAATATCTGGGGGGGAAAAGCAAAACTTTTTTCCGCTTTGAACACAACAGCTGTGTATACGTTATCGTACACTTCAATACTATATAGTACGCTAAAACAGTATGCAAGCAGAGTAGTATATCTAAATGCATAGAATTCGAAAAGCAGTATGCGAGAAGTACCCAGATGACCTACTACTTTGGGCGAGATTCTGAAGTGCGCATCCAATAGACACTATGCTATCACATGATGCACTGCAAGAGAATTCATGAATGCAAGTGAAGCAGTAGGTCACGTGTAGCTACTGAGTAGTAGGCGATTATAGGTGCAGCCAATATATTTTATTTTGAAAAACATTTAAAATAATGTCAGGCTAAATAATTCAAATGAATCATTGACTTCTGCCATCTTCACTAGTTTAAAAACAGACTTTTTTACAATTTAAACCTTTAAAAAAAAACATACATTTACCATAAGAATTGTAATAGGAAATTTTGGCGGGTTTAAAACCTTGACTTTTTCAAACCTTGCTCGTTGTGTATACCTTGAAAACGGTTATTGTCCCATGCCTACTTTAGATTAAAAAATGCAGAGTGAATGCAAAGCGAAGACAAACTTCCAGACTAGAAATGCAAGCAGTTCTAGTGTAAAACACAATATACATGGACAGAAAAGCAACACTTGATTCACATTTGCAAGGTTTTCCTTGATTACACAGATGGTCTGATTTATATATTTTTAATTGTAATATAAATAAATATATGTATTTTATTTAAATTATTTTTTTTGCTTTGCATCTTTAGGTTTGGCCAAAAAAATAACTTTTAAAAAATCCAATTACTAGTGTGTTTACACCTTAAAACCAACTTTCCACACGAGCAAGCAACAGAGCAGAAGAATTTCTGTGACTAGATTGTATTCGACCTTTTGACCTTATGTGTTGTCTGATCCGGTCGATTTTTGTTGTTAATCATTTTTGTTCATTTTTATCAGAAAATATTGTAATATTCATATCATATTTTTATGCTACAATCTTATGAACAAAATCTATTTTGTGAAATATAATATAATGTAATATAATATAATATAATATAATATAATATAATATAATATAATATAATATAATATAATATAATATAATATAATATAATATACATTCATCTAATTCTTCAGCTTAGTCTCAATTTCAGAGGTTGCCAGAGCGGAAAGAACCGCCAACTATTCAAGCATGTTTTACTCAGTGGATGCCCTTTCATCCGCAACCCAGTACTGGGAAACACCCATAACACACTTATTTACACACACTCATACACTACGAACAATTTTGGACTAGTTTATTCAATTCACTTATGACACTGGAGCACCTGGAGGAAACTCACACTCACACGGGGAGAACATGCAAACTCCACACAGAAATGCCAACTGACGCAGCTGGGACTAACAGACCTTTTTGCTGTGAGGCGACAGTTTTAACCACTGAGCCACCATAATATAAAATTATATAAGATATTATAATATAATATAATATAATATAATATAATATAATATAATATAATATAATATAATATAATAAAAAGTAAAATAAACACTCAATACCCAACCTAAATTAATAAATATATTATATTATATAATCTCAGACCACAATAAGTTTAACTTTCATGTTGCCACTAACTATTAAAGTAAAAATCCTGTGTGACTACCACTAGGTGACGAATTGCTGTCTAAATGTCATGTGCAGTTTTTTTTTTAAATCTAAAAAAACTAAAACTATGGAAAAAATTTATATAAATAAAAAAAATAAACAGACTGAACCAGGGATGGGCAACTCTGTCCTGGAGGGTCGGTGATCTGGATACAGGGCTCGAAATTAACCTTTTTGCTTGGTAGCACCGGTGCTCCTAACTTTAAAAATGTAGGCGCATCAGCCAAAATTTAGTCGCACCCACCAATTATGAGCACCGAAACTACAAGTTTTATACAAACATATTTATTGTATTTGAAATTAACACTCATCAAACTAACAAGCAAAAACAATAATATAAATATGCAAGCGTGAGGAAAATATGTCTCAACGAAATCCCGTGATCACAAGAAAATAGATTTTTATAACAGAACTGAGTGACCAAAGCATACACGGAGCGCTCACCGGCCCTGCACGCACTGCTTGAATGAATCTGTTAACGGTATAACGTTAACTGTGCTGTTCTCACGTGTGCTGTCTGATATTGCACTGATGCTTTTGACACTCTTTTCATGAGTAGCGATATTAATATACTCAGTGCAAGCCCGTTTGCGATGGTGTACGTGATGTTAAATTTGACATATAGCTGTCCCTTGCACGGCGGACAGCATCTGGCAATTATATGAAGGATTAAACAGAAGCTCTCGTGCTAGATGTGGCAAACAGTTACCTGAAAACTCCATCCCACAGACTTTTCATAGCGGACTTGAAGCCCATGGAAGTCTTCTACTCTTGGAAAAGTGTAGATGGTGGATTAACATTCAGCACATGGTCACTAGTAAGATGTGTCATTATTTGTAACTAGATGGTTTCTAAAACTAAATCTGTCAGTGTTATCTTCATTCTCATCTTCAGCGCTTTAGTTTTTCGCGGTAGTAGCTCTCTGTCATCCGAAGCCAGAAGGTGCTGACTGAGTGATTGACAGCTGATATTAACCAATCATTCGCGTTCAGTGCTAGAGCAGTGGGGCAATAAGAAGAGCGCGAAGCCGGGGCAAGCATTACGGACTTGGATTTGTTTACTGCAGCAAGTTGACATGACAACTGTTTTAAACCATTCCCGAGTGCTGCGCTTCCCGTTCCAAGTGCCAACAAAGAGCTTAGAGATGCATTCTGCGTGAATGTCTCCCGAATCCGCGCATGTGGTGAACATTTTGCAGTAAAAACTGGTCGCACACAACAATTTTAAGCACTCGCAGAAATGCTCCCAAATATATTTTAAGGTCGCATAGATAAAATTTCGGGCGCATATGCGACCAAAATGGCCGCAATTTCGAGCCCTGTGGATAGTTTAGCTGCAACACTAATCAAACACACCTGAACATGCTAATCAGTGTCTTCAAGGTCACTAGTAATCTATAAGCAGGTGTGTGAACTGAAAGCTTTTAAAACCTTTTTGTTGACAGACTTAAAGATCAACGAAAGGAATTCTTTAAATATATATTTTTTTAAAACAACAAACACAAGTCTGGAGTTTGAAAATTTAGACTTACTGATGTAAAATTGTGCAAACAGCAAAACCTAGTTCACTACATTAAACAGTTTCCCTTTAGGTTGCTCATACTCAAAGCCCAACACTACGTCCTTCCAATACAAAGAACATTCATCATAAATTTGACTTCTAATAAATGTCATGTGCAGTGGAAAAGCTGCTTAAAAGTAATGTGATGTGTAAATATAACTGAATCAGTATGGTTTGTACCTGATCAGGTCCCATTGGCATGCGTCCCATGCCCATGGTGTTCATGCCCATCTGGCCCTGCATTGGGGGCATCTGTCCTGCACCGTTGCCATTCACACCCCCCTGCATGGAGCCGTTCATCATCATTCCACCATACTGTCCTGGCGCCCCCTGCTGGGGATATTGCTGTTGCTGGGGGTATGAACTAGAAAAGAGGGGGAATTAAAAGGATTTAAAAAATAACAATGTAGTCAAATTGAATTGGAATTTTTGGAACAATACTTGTTATAAATAATTTATCCTTACATTATATTCACACATCTTCATAACCGTTTCAGGATGACTTTGTAAAAATCACAAAATAACGTTTGACTTAGACATTCAATGAATTCATAAGTTTTCAAGAAGTATTCTGAATTATTGAACTATTAATGTACTAATGCAATTTGCTTATAATTTTTTTGTTTTGTTTTTCCTTATTTAAGGTTTGATAAATATGAAGAATTTCCATTTCTTGATGGCTGAGTTTTATTTTACAAATCTTATACAATGTTTCTGCAGGTTTATTTAAGACTTTTAAGACATTTAAAAGATGTTATGAATTAAATTTTACACTCAAAAAGGCGATGATTTTTCAATTGATTTTAATTTGCCCTATAAAACATATTATAGTTGAATTCAATTAATAGTACAATCATAAATTAATAATAGAAAATGTAATATTTTAGATATTTCTTTAAAAATATTTTAAACATTGTGTAAAAACAAGCCCGCACTACTTGTATCTATGCTTTTTCAACATAAAATTATTTAAAATAATAAAAAATAAATAAACAAATGTTTTAAAAAGTTTAAAAACTATAATAAACTAAATCTATGCACAATGATCCGTCCAGGTCAGTGTCCTCAGCGGTAAATACATGAAGCACTTTTAAACAAATGTTATTGTAAGGAAAATAATTAAACCATTATGATAAATGTAGTTAAAATGACCTTTTTAAATAAAACTTTTTATTTTAAAATAAATTTTTATTAAGATGGATTGTTGGTAATTGTATTGGGTTTGGCCAGATTGGGTAGAAATACATGAACAAAGAAAAATTAGGACTTGTTTTAAAAAAAAAGATTTAAGACCAAGTAACACAATATCTCAGTAAATTTAAGACTTTTTAAGGCCTAAATATTTTAAGATTTCAGACATTTTAAGGCTTTTTAAGACCCTGCAAAAAACCTGTTATACAAAGATAATATATATTTAAAAATACAACTAAAAAATGACAAAATCTCCTTAAATAAGAAAAAAATACATATAATTAAGTTTACAAATGTGGTTTAATAAACAGATAAAGCATAAGATAAATGCAATGCAACGAGTTCAAATAAAGTGTGTGAAATAATGTTCCATGTCACTCAAAGTAACGGATACATTTATGCAAAAATTAAATAACAAACTTAATCTTTTATTTAATTTAACAAGTATAAGTCAGAATAAGGGTTCAAAGTAAATTCTTGTATTTCAAGTGTAAATGGGTAAAACAGTGATTTGAAGAATAGGGTCGTAAAAAAGTATTTTAATGTCCTTAAATTACTTTGGTTCTAGATATGACTGATCAGTTTTTCCTGTGCATATAAAGTATTGTTACACTGAATGCCATTTTAGCGAGTCTTCTGTCATAAAAAGTTTAAAAGGTTAAAAAGTACAGAAACATAGTTCGTTGCTCAGAAAAAAATCACAGGAAAAATAACTATAGTACTTCCTTTTTTCATTTTTAGGACCTTTGAATTTTGGTAATTATATATATATATATATATATATATATATATATATATATATATATATATATATATATATATATATATATGAAGAGTTCAGATGCAAAAACCTAAGTGCCGTCTGACTTTACCATCGAAAATGAACATTTTTCGCAGCCGCCTTTGTTTATGTTGAATTATTACCCTTTAAAGATGATGAAAAGAACTTATTCTTTGCCATAAAAGACATATTACTGAACCTACACACGGGAGCCTGATAAAATACTAATTTTGGAAGAACTTCAGAGGTTTCTAAACTCTTCATATTTTTAAACAATATTGATTTAATGCTATTTATTATTATTTTCAAGATCTAATATGGGAAAATCTATCACTTCCATGCAACGTAAAACGGAACAACTCACTTATTCATAGGCATGGGCCCCTGTCCCCAGCCCTTCATTTCTGCCGATTGGTACATGGGGTTGCTCTGAGGGTGCTGTTGCATCATGGGATTCTGAGGGCCACCCATTCGCCCAGACATCATATTGTTAGGGGGGCTGCTACCTGTTCCCACAAATGAAGGGTCCCCCTGCTGGCCAATACCTGAAAATCACAAGAGTGACTTTTCTTTATAACCATGCAACAAGATACAGAATGTACAGAATATGTCATTACAAACCAATTACAAACATCTGCTATCCAACGCGTTTCATTTTACTTTATTTGCACTGTAGAGGCATTTCTAGATTTATCATTATGAATTTTGCACAGATCCCATGCGAGATGTGTTCACAACAGGAGGCGTGAAGCCAACAAAACTGAATAAACACAACATAAAACCTGTTTTAACCAGTGTTGGGGAAAGTTACTTTAGAAAGTAATGCATTACAATATTGAGTTACTCCCCAAAAAAGTGACTAGTTGTGCTACGTAGTTACGTTTATGCAAAGTAATGCATTACGTTACTTTTGCGTTACTTTTTATACCTGCCTAGGGCTTGATCTCTTTCAGAACTTCTTTTTTCTCTGTTTTTTTTAAAGAGGATTAATTGCTAATCAATTTACAATACACTGTGTAACCTACACCTTCATTTACCTTTAAAAAAAAAAAAAAAAAAAAAAATATATATATATATATATATATATATATATATATATATATATATATATACTGACTAATGAAAGTTTAAAGCAATGTGTTTGCTACTTTTGTACTATATTACAGTAAAATCAATGTCCTTTTCCTTTTCTCATTCCTTAATTTTAATTCAGCAATTTATTTTTTAAAAGCTAATTAATTAAACTAAAAAGTAACTTGCTTTACATTTTCAAAAATGTAACTCATATTAATAAAATGTAACTCATATTAATAAAAAAATGTAACTCTATAATATTATATATAGTAATATTATAATGCAGCTCAAGTTATTTGTAATGCAGTACCCCCACTGGTTAATAATTATATAATCGATAATAAAATATCTATTATCTTTTTAATTGTATTTTATGTTTCTTTTATTCTTGTTTATGTAAAGCATTTTGAATTTCCATTGTATATGAAACTGTCACTGATACAGTGAAAGAATGATCAAATTCTGACATCTTTTTGAAATCCCATTTGACCAATCAACAGAGGGATTATTGACCAATCTTGTAACTGAGAGAAAACGTATGACATGACTTTTGAAATATGGCCAAGGAAAAATGTTCTCTAGTCAGCATGCAAAGACGCATTTATTAGTAATGTTTTACTGAGATACGGTGGTTCACGGCACTCCAGAAAATTAATTTTGGAATTGATCAGAATACCAAAAATTATTTGTTGTCACTGAAAATCAGGGTTATTTCACCAAATATTCATTTCTCAATGGTTCTGGAGTCATAACACTAGTACAGTGTTTTCTAAAAATTTATATAAACATGACTGCAAAACATTCTGATGAACTTATTTTATGCAAATATGAGAAAATTTTACTTCACATGTGTAAGGGATGCTATTATCACTTTACAGAATAAAACCAAAAAATGTTTTACTCAAACACAAATCTATAAACAGTAAATTCAGAGAACTCTCAAATTTTCATGTGACATCTTATGTTATTTTCTCCAAGGAATGAAGTTTAGTTTAGTTTGGTCTTTTACAAAGTAAACATTTCCATAATATTTATTTTGGCAAGCAGTTGCAAAGTACACAAATTCTAAACAAATTTTATTTATTTTAATCATCATATTAGATTTCAATTTTATGTAGACCTTTTTCATAAAAAGCAAAATTACCCATCATGATTTACCTGTATGCGTGAGGAGGATGCTTTGAACTTCCTGTCGGCAACTTGATGCATATGAAGAGTCACATTTGGACAGCTTTGAAATTATAGTTTTAATCTATTTGATTTGCTTTTAATGTCTTTGAATTAATACTGTTGGACTAATTATTTAAATAATGCAATCTAATAGGAATAAAAAAAACAACAGCTATGAGGTATTTTACCCTCATCTTCAGATGGCATCTTGTGCCATTTAAATGGAGCATTGTCATCACTAAAGTGTTCTTTGTCTCTTTTTAAAATATATAACCAACCTAAACAAATTTAATTGACCAAAATGTGTGACACATATGTACTGTCCCACTGACAAACCCACTGATTGAAAGAGTGGCTTAAAATGAAAACAAAGTGGCATTTTGAAATACTACACAATACAAACTAACTAAATGAAACAAAAGCTTCTCCCGAATACAATCAACATGCAAATCAGCCAGGCATAGAATCAGTCAAGTACTTTTATTTTTTGGATGTTTCATGCCAGTAATTTGGTTTGCTCTTTATAACACAGTGATGTAATTGGTGTGTTGTGTATGTGTGCGCACTGAGCTCTGTATAACACCTGACAGGTCGGGAACACTGATGCTAAATTTCAGCATCTGATCTGACGGAAGACACTGAATGAATTAGGAGTTTTTCTCTCACGCTTGAACCACATCTGACAGAAGTATAACAGCTTTAACATCTTTCAAAAACAAAGTTGCGCATCAGCAAAAAACTCCCTAAGCCACTCAAAACGGTACTGACACCCATTTTGTGATCAAGATTTATCAGTTGTAAACAGAAGCTCTAAGCATCCTAAAGGAAGGTACTGGTCAATATGTTGCCCTCCAAGCAGCAATGAAGAAAAAGGTCTATATCGGGGCCTTTAATTGAGGAATGGGAAAATATTGACCTTTGTTTTGATTTGTAGAATTAACACTAGACTGATCATACCATAGTTGCCTCCATAGTTAAAGGCCTGCTGTCCGGGCTGGCTCATTGGTGGTCCTGCCATGGGGTTGTCCATTCCTGTGGGCGCTGTGACATTAGGAGGGGGACTGAAACCTCCTGCAGCCACCTGCTGCTGTTGCTGCTGCTGCTGCTGCATCATCATCATCATCCTCTGTCTTCTCATCTGCAGAAATGGACAAAACTTCAGTTATCCTGCATAAACCGTCGCTGTGGGTTAAGTGTCCACACAACACCACTGACAATTTTAAGCGCATATGTAGAAATTCAAGAGTTGGTACCTCTGTCTGAAGATTCAACATTTCTCTGCTGCGCTGTGCCATCATCTGAGCATTCAGGAAACCAGGCTGAAAGAGAGGAAAAGGTGACATTAGAGAAAGAGAAAAAAAACATTAACACACTCAGGGCATCGGATTTAATCAAAAGATGAAAGTACCTGTCCGCCCATGCCTGGCTGCATGCTGGGTCTCATGCCAGGGTTTCCTGCAGGGCTGGCATCAGGTCTCATGCCCATGGCCTGTCGGCTCTGGTTCAAAAACTGCAGCAAAGGAATATTCACGTTACAAGATTTAAAGTCACGGCACTGCAAAAGAGCTGCAAACGGCAACCATTCTGATAAGAAATATGTGAAATGTATTTAAACAAGCAATCTAAAAACATTAAGTACATATCCGCATTAAATGTGTGGCATTTTACAATTTACAGCCTAAAATTTATATTTAACAAGCATTTATTCAGATTTATTTTGAATGTCCTAACCTGAAAGTATATTAATGGAAAATTACCTCAATGCAAAAAGAACTGTTCTTACAATAGTTCCCACATGCTGGAAAATTATATTTTATATTATATATTACATTAAAACAGTAGTAAAATATTTCAATTAAAATATAAAATGTTTTCGATCATACTACATTTTTCAAACTTGAATATTTGATTCTACTTTCTACCTGAACCTTAAAAACAGAAACCTTTCTGATCCACTTTAAATGTTGACTACTATACTATACTAAACTATACTATGCTATACTATACTATACTACACTATACTATACTATGCAGCAGCAAAAGGTAAGGCAAGTTTATTTATATAGCATATTTCATTTGCAATGATAATTCAAAGTGCTTTTCATAAACAGGAATAAAAAAAGACTAATATCAGCAAATAAAAACAATAAAGAATAAAAATGATTATAAAACAGACCAAAAGGTGTAAAACTGGTTTTAAAAGAATGAGAAGAAAAGACAGATTTAATCAAAACTTGTTTTTTCTTTTGAGATTTATTGACCAGTATTATATGACCACTTATAACGGTTTCTGAATGATCATGTAACACAAAATTTTAGAGCAAATATCAGCTTTCCCATCACAACACTAAAATACATTTTAATATATGTATATAAAAAAGACTTTTTACATTATTTTTTAGGTAACACTTTACAATAAGGTTCATTAGTTAATGCATTTACTAACATGAACTAATCATGAACAACACATGTACAGCATTTATTAATCATAACTGAACATTTAATAATGCATTATTAACATTCAAGTCCATGCTTGTTAACATTAGTTAATGCACCATGAGTTAACGTGAACTAAAAATGAACTACTGTATTTTCATTAACTAACGTTAACTAACATGAACAAATACTGTAGTAAATGTATTGTTCGTTGTTTGTTCATCTTAGTAAATGCATTAATTAACATTAACTAATGAATCTTATTGTAAAGTGTGACCATTTTTTAAGTGTGCTGTATGTAATTTTTGCCACTAGAGGTCGCATATTCGCAACAAACAAAGCCATATTTTGACGACGTTGTTACTGTGTGTGGAATCATGCGCCTTATCTCTCTACTACATGTACTACATCCTAAGGAACTGTAAGCTCTGTTTTATCATATAAAAAAGTCTTAGGTGTTATATTTATGTCTATAAAACAAATCCAGAAATCATGAGCGTATGACATCATGTATGGCGATACAGGACACAGTCGGTGTCACTAGTTAAAATGACTTTTTCTCTTATTACTTATTTCAAACATCCTTTGTAACATCCAGCATAATATAAGTACACAGGTCACCAAAATAACACTGTTTTAGAGTACTCTGAGAGCTGTGCCATATATATAATATATATAGTGTTTAAAATGACATCTTGTGCCTTTAATCAATTAAATTTATCACTATCTATCAACCTCTAAATACACTGTGAGACCCTATAATTTCTCCATCTGATAATAGTTAAAACCCTCCCTCATTGATTACACTCTCATTGTCTATTGCAGATATTATTTGTTACTGCAGGGCATCTGCTCACCTGCTGTCCCTGCAGTCTCTGCTGGAGCTGCAATCTGAGAGGTTTGGCCTGAGGCACTCGGTTCCTCATCATGTTTGCACGAGGATGCATTGGGCCCATACCACCCATCCCAGGGAAGCCACCCTGCTGGTTCATCTGGCTCATCATGGGATTAAACCCTGGTCCTGACTGCCCTTGCATGGGACCGGGTCCAGGACCAGCACCAGGGTTGGGACCGGGACCATATCCGCCCTGCATCCCCATGGAAGGGGGTCCCGGGTAGCCCTGTCCATACATCGCCTTGGGAGGTTCCATACCCATAGAGGAGTCTGGACCCAGACAAGGACCAGAGAAAGGGTCCGATGGAGGAGGCTGATCTGAACTATGACCCTAAATGGAGAAACAAATGGTTAGATGGTTGCTGTAACATACATTATTCCTGCTAGCTTATCTGGGACCCCTGTTCAACTGCAACTTAAATATCTAATCAGCCAATCAACATGGGGGCTTTAAAAGCAACAAATGGACTTTACCTTAAAAAGTGAGTAAATCTTTTGTAACTTGAAACGGTCTAGCTGGCTTAACTTAATTTTTAATTATGCAAAAAAGTAGTTTACTTAATAAATTTACTCACTTTTATTAAAAGTAACGTTCATTAATTGCTTTAAATCATTTGGGTTTACACATTTTTTTAAAGTTAAGCACACTATTAGCTTTTTTTTATAGTGTAAGGCATGTAGACGTGCTCAAGAAAGACTGCTGAAATGTAAACAGAGCATCACAGTGGGGAAGAAAGGTTATTTAAGTGACTATTCATTCATTCTTTTTTTTTTATTTATTGCCATGTCAGCTACTAAGGATATTTATGGCAAGAGCATTTCAGTAATTAACAAACATCAACAGTAAAAAATAAATAATTGAATATACAGTTTAAATAAGATTTTTCTGATTAATACATGTTAAAAATTCTAATACTTTTTCTGGTGTCACTTTGTTAAAAATGTCCTTAAGAGAGTTCTCATCATAAAAAGTCTTTCTGGAGTCATTAAAAGCAGGACAGTCCAGTAAAATGTGTTTTACAGTCCATGGGGTATTACAGTGTAAACATTGGGTAGGGTCTTCATCTTTGAGTAAAAAGTTATGTGTTAATCTTGTATGTCCAATATGACATCTGGTAAAAATTACTTGATCAGCTTGTTTCTCAAAATGTCTTATACCTCTGTGTGTAATTTCAGGCTGGATTTTGTGTAATTTATTGTTTTCCAGAGTATCCCACTCCTCTTGCCACTTGTTTAAAATGTAATTATTAATAAAAGGTCTCATCTCAGATGGAGAAGTTTGACATTTGTTCACATTTAAGTGACTATTAATGTGACATATTTGCTAGTCCAAGATCGACTGACCTGAGTATTTCAGAGATCTTCTGGAATTTACAGAAACAACTATCTCTAGAATGTACAGAGAATAGTCTGATTAGGAGACCATATTCAATGACTGGCAGTTCTGTGGATGAAAATACCTTGTTTATGCCAGAGGTCAGAGAAGAATGACCAGAATGACAGAAGGACAAGAGTAACTCAAATCCCCACTCATTAGGGCTGAGGACATTCAGATATTAAGGTCAGAATCTGACATGAATGCACAAATCCATCCTGCCTTGTAGAAAAGAGTTGTTAGTATTCTTACTGACCATGTCCATTCCTTTCTGATCAACTTGCAAAGGCTAGTCCCAAAAAAGATCACTTCATCATAAAGCTCAAATCGGTTTCCCACATCATAATGGGTTTGCTCTATACTCAGATTTCCTCTACATTCACCTGATTTTAGTTCAATGAAACCCCATTAGGGTGTGCTGGAATGGGTGATTCACATGGATGAATATGCAGCAGCCTTATGATGAGATCATACCACTATAAGCTAAAATATTGGAGAAAGGTTTCTAGCATTTTGTTAAATACACTGCAAAAAATGCTTTTCTTACTAAGAATTTTTTTGTCTTGTTTCTAGTCCAAATATCTAAAAGTTTTCAAATCAAGAAGCATTTTCTACACAAGCAAAACATATTGTCTTTTTTTAAAGAAATAATATGTCAAAATAAAGTGAGTTTTTCCTTAAATCAAGCAAAATGATCTGCCACTGGGGTAAGTAAAATAATCTTATCACAAATCGAAAAACAAGATTATTTTGCTTACCCCATTGGTAGATTATTTTGCTTGATTTAAGGAAAAACTCACTTCATTTTGGCATATTATTTCTTAAAACAAGACAATATGTTTTGCTTGTCTAGAAAATGCGTCTTGATTTAAGAATTTGTAGATATTTGGACTAGAAACAAGACAAAAAAATCTAAGTAAGAAAAGCATTTTTTGCAGTGTAAATGCCATGAAACATTAATTCAGTTCTAATGGCCAAACTAGTCCACTTAAATTAATGTACCCAATAAAGCAGCCAGTGAGGGAATGTGGCCACACCATTGGTGATTCATAAACTCAACGCATCTGTTCCGTGAATTGGACTTGCTGTGTACCTGGTTGATGAGATCTGGTATGCCAAGGGCACGGTCGATCTCCTCCAGAGCGATGACGTCAGTGTTGTTGAGCAAAGAGTCCAGCTGGTCCAGCAGAGCTCGCTCATCACTCTGACCCTCAGAGGTGGATGGAGGAGCCAGAAGTTCATCAAGAGGGCTATTTATCGGCAGCCTGATACAAAAAAAGACATTAATAAATGAACATTCACTTACTTGAGTAGCAAACTGCATAACAGGCATACCTTTAATTTGTCTGTGCGTTTTCAAAAGAAATGTCAAATTCTTATATATATTAATAACTAACTTCAATCATATATTACCTAATGTATATATGATTTTAATGTAACATCAGATTTAAATTAAAACTTTGCGCAGATTTGGTGCTCATTTATCATCAATTACTATTGATGCTTGATTTTTAAAAACTAAACAGATTAGTTGCTCAATATTTTTGCTAAAATCAAGATACAATGTTTTTTCCAAGGTTTTTTGATGTTAAGACATTTTAAAACACCAGCATCTTCCTGAAATATTAATTGTCTGTAACAATATAAAATATTGTTATATAAAATATATTTCTGAAGGATCAAGAGACACTGAAGAATGGTCTAAAAATAAACACAATTTTAAAACACATCAAATTAAAAAAAGGTGCTAAAGTTTAAAATGTTGCTGTATTGCCTTCACATTTAGCATGATCCACTTGTAGGCTTTAGGTGTGAAATTAGATTAAATAACTTTAAGAAGTTATCATGAAGTGTAACATTGTTTGCAGTATTTTTTTTAAACATTCCACATCAGCAAAAGAAAGCAGAAAATGACCTAAATCTATAAATCTAGGTAATCCCACGTAGTTTACCTGTTTGCACTCGGTGGTCCCTCCATTCCCATCCCACTATCTGGCCACGAAGGGGACTGTGGTGGAGGAGCCTGCCCTCTGAACGAATTCATACCCATTCCTACATCATACGGCCCTGAGAAAAACAACATCATAAAGTTCATTTAATATGTCACCAGCTGTAATTAACCTACACTGGGAGTTTTGAGTCATTCTGAACTGTCAGAACTCACCCATTTCCATCAACTGCTGTTGTAACATGGATCTGGTTGCAGGAACGCTGTTAGATCGGCTAACCATGGGACCTCCCATCATGCTCTTGGGATTGTGGTCCATGCCTGGGCGACCCATGCCAGGGTGTCCGACGGAACCAGCAGGACTGCCAGAACTGGACATCCAATCTCCTGCACCTGCCATTGGAGGTCGATTGGGCATTCCCATGAGCCTGTTTGGACCTCCTGGTAACATCATGTTGGGAATGTTCATTTCCAGGTTTAGAATGAATGATTACACATTAAATGTTGAAAAATAACTCACCCATGCCAATCTGGCTATCAGTATGCTCCTGTTTGACAAGAGAGGATGGTGCGCTCTTTCTACCAGTCATGCCTGGCCCACTCATAGGTTTTCCATCGACAGACACTGCCCTCTGGAAGGGCACACGTTGACCAGAACCCATACCAACACCCTCTCGGTCTGGAACACACAATAATGAATACAGAATGCATTAATATTCAACACAATGGGCAGCAGTATTTCTCTTTTTAAATTTGAATGTGTTCATCTAGTCACAATAAGTATTTTGCATGAATTTAAAGGCCTCAAGGTGTTGTGACTCACCGTGGGCGGTGCTGTTAGGTCCATTGCCCTGCTTATTGCCCACTTCTGACCCTCCAGATCCAGAATCAACAAACATTCCAGGACCGGGATTCCTCAGCCCACCGAGGATACTCTCTAAACTTTCCAGCTGAAAAAAAAACACAGGATTGATTATAGAATGGCAAAAAATATGTGTTTGCAGTTAAGTATTAAATATCGACAAAACAATTTTTTAATAAAAAAAAAAAATGTAAAAAAAAAATTATATATATATATATATATATATATATATATATATATATATATATATATATATATATATATATATATATATATATATATATATATATGGTTTAGAGCAGGGGTGCTCAACCCTGATCCTGGAGATATACCTTCCTGCAAAGTTTAGCTCCAACCCTGAGCAAACGCACCTGAACCAATTAGTTAGGATCTGAACAGCACTTGATTATTAGATGCAGGTGTGTTTGATTTGGGTTGTAACTGCAATCTGCAGGAAGGTAGATTCCCAGGAACAGGATTGAACATCCCTGGTTTAGAGAAACATTGTTGTTCAGATTCTTAAGCGATGACTATTTAAAAAAAGGCATGTTCATTTTTATCTATCCATCCATGATAAATCAATCATATGACGATATGGTGCTTGAGAAACGTCTATAAAAACAGCTGTGCTACTTTACACATTTTGTAGAAAAAATTTTTGATGAAGAGAAAATATTAAAATAAAACAAACCTTTTTAATATACATGTTTAGTAACATTACAAATGCATCTTATGAGACTTGAATCTACTTAATGAACACAAAAAACAATGAATATTACATCTATTTAAATATCTACTTATTAACTGAAATATATTCTAAAATATAGAACCAATGTGATGTTGACATGCGTCAAGAAACAACCACATACCTCATCCGGTTGTTCGAGCTTGACCTTGCTCTCCTGGTTACTAGAACTGGAGGTCGTGACCCCTGCCCCCTGCCCTCCAGATGCCCCTCTTGCTTCAAGCTCCTCCAGCTTTGGCTTGACCTCTGTAGCACCGGGCTCTTTGGAGTCATCCTTATTGAGGAGGTAGTGAAGGAGGGCTTGTGGCTTTTTTCCTTCTTTCGGACTGTGCTGCTCCTGTTTGAGCTCCAGATTCCTCCCCTCAGCACCCGGGTGTTCTGAACTAAGCGAGGACTTGCCGGTGGCTTCAGCTGTAATGCGAGCCACGTCATCGGGTGTGTTTCCATTCTGAAGAAGCTTGTGGAGTATCTTGTGTTTCTCCTGTAAGGTGTGAGTGCTGTGATGTCCACTAGGACAAGCAGTGGACGACACTCCACCCGAGCTTTGCTGATTAACGTTATTCCCGGATGATGAACCGGATGAAGAGGACACCCCTGTGGAGGAAGGACTCATCATGCCACTTCCAGTCTCCTTCGGGTCAGATCCCATCGGAGTGGACGCACGACCTGGAACAGGTCCACTAGTCGCAGTCCCGATGCCAATCTCTTCAGTTGGAGATGTGAGCAACTGAAGTAGCTTCTTGTGGCCTTTTCCATCAGGGACTCTCCGGTTGACTTCTCCCCCAGCGGATCCATCCTTGTTGGACTGGCTGTCTGGTTTGTCTGTGTTCTCCGTAGAAGAGGCCTGTTGCTGGTCTAACCCTGTGCTGTGAGCACTTGATGGACTCTTGGAGTCACTGGTAATGGGTTTGTTGTTGCCGATCGGGCCTTGCTGACTGGATTGAGTGGAGTTGATATTGGGAGAACTGTCGGATTTGTGGGCAGGTGAGTTGAGAGCTGAAGGTAGAGAAGAACCCACACCTTCACTGATGGCCTGGAGGGCATTCAATGAGCTGCTAGAGAAGGTATTCCCAACCGATGGACCTGAAGATCCACTACTGCCACCCATGCCTACGGGACCCATGGGAGAGTGCATACCTATGATGTCAACAAGGTCAAGAAATTATTGCTAAATCACAATATTTAAATCACAAATGCGATTAAACAAAAACTGTAATGAAAAAACTTGTTAGTAAAGCGTAGTTCTGAGATCACTAGTTAATTTGCTCTGAAGGCAAGACAGCTGCCTCACATGGAAACTCCAACTAACCACAAAGAAGAAACACGGGAAGTGCCCATTGCATTAGTGAATTAAACCAGGGATGGGCCGTATTTATGATACATGTATTTCAAATACGTATTTTAAATTAGTATTTGATAGGATTGATGGAAAGGCTTAATATTTTGTATTAAATACTTTAGTGTCTTGTATTTTTAAAATACTGTAAAATACTTTGTAAGAAGTCTACATGATAACATCATATACATGCACCCTCTGATTGGTGCTTTGGACATTATTAACTGTAAAAATAGTAAATAGAAAACAATAAAATATTTGGACAGAGTATACTGTACAAATAATTTTGGATGGACTGATGATGCCAAATGTTTGTCTATAAAACTAATTCCATAAAGAGAAGTCCTACAGTGGCGATTCCTACAATACTTCATTGGTTGTTTTAAATGCCAGTAGTAAACAGCAGGCATAGTTGCAATGTATGGTAAATGAAGATGTATGCCTAAAGATGTCAAAGTGACACAACATTTGAAAATTTAATAATCTCCTAAAAACAAACAAGTCATAGCAAGAGCAGGATATAGTATGTGAAGAGTTTATTAGCAAAAATAGAAAAGAAGTTTTCAGAAATCATGTTTTTACATTGAAGTATTGAGGTGTAAATTTTCATGACCTAATGTTTCATGCAATGTCTACATATGCATGGTAAAAGAAAAACGATGCATGTTCAAATTAATACAGCATTTTAAAAAACATGAAGCAATCTATTTAGTTTCAAATTATATTTATATCTATGTAAAATTTATTTACATAATGCTTACACCGCACTAACATTTTGAGTATGCGATGGAGAGAAAATAAGTAAATAACCAATATTCAAGTACACAGTTATCTGTATTCTGTGACTTTTCCAAAACTTTGTGGGTTTTTCTGTTTTTCCAAAACTTTGGCAAACCTGGATAATGCCATGTCAAAATTCCATGACTTTCTAAGTTTTCCCTGACCGTATGAACAATGTTAATGGTAAAGGGACATATGTCATGCTCCTTTATAAAAGTATTTTCTAGTATTTTTAAAATACAAAATAAAGTATTTTGCGACTGCTGTATTTTGTAGTTTATTTTGATACGCTTAAACTTAAGGTATTTGGTATTCTATTTTGAAATAAATTTCAATATATTTTGCCCAACCCTGGATTTAACTGCTTTCAATGATTCAATGCCACTAATTAAAAGAATCTTGTCTATAATCACCTTTAATAAATCAATTTTTAATAGTAGTAATATTAATTTAATAGTATTTTTTTTTGTAGCAGTATCTAAATAGTTTATGTATTCCTACTTAAAATGCCACAAAATGATAGTGAATCACAAAACCCACATGAACCAATAGTGCTGAGACTTTTATTTTAATATGCTGATGTACTTCCAATCTAATAAGTATTGAGTAGGGGACGGGGCTTTCTATTTGCACATCATTCCCTCACAGCAAACTAATGGTAAGAAAGGCGTGGTTAAGAAAATCGCAGCTGAAGCCATCAAACTGACATCCACAAAACCGCCACTTCAAACGCGGAAGCAAATGGTCAGACTTTGATTGGTAAGACTTTGATTACCAAAATATATACATTTTTAATTATATTACCATACACGAATTAACTGTGTACCTCAAGAATAATGTGAGCTACAAAATAATCATAGGAAATTTTGATATTACACGAATTTTAAACAATCTTTTTTTGTTGAAAATTTGATTTAAATGTTTTAGGTACGCATAAATAGAAAAATGTGAGTCATTACAAATCATATCAAATTCATAAACTCATATAAAATATAAGCAATACAAAAAAACTAACACTAAATAACTGCTACAGTATTTTAAAGTGGTCAGTATTTTTGTCATTCGTCAAATTTTAGGAATTGTTTTGCAGAAATTTGACAATATTTGCCTTCTCTAGTACAATCACATACTGCATTTCACAAGATTGCACCCATCTAATCTAAACTCCAAAAACAGTAAACATACCTCCAGGTGAAAATGGACTTGCTCCCATTTTAGGACTCCCTCGTATCCGCGGAGACCCCATGAGATTCTGCTGACCAGGATTCATTCCCGGACTTCCTTGAGAGGGACTTGTCATTACCATTCCATAGCCGCCACCACCATGAAACTGGCCCTGCTGGTGCTGATTCATCCCAGGATGGCCCATCTGATTCATAGAGTTCATTTGATTCATTTGATTCATCTGATTCATTGAGCCCATTTGATTCATGCAATTCATCTGATTCATATTCATTTGATTCATCGAATTCATCTGGTTCATTTGATTCATCTGGTGCATCGGGTTCATCTGATTCATCCTGTTTCCCGGGCCATACATTGCTCCGCCTCTGGGTCCCATGTGGCCTTGCTCATTCATGCCGTAGCCCCTAGTGTTGCCCATGCCCATCTGAGCATTCGGATTGGCATTACCCATAACTGATCGCATTACACCACCCTGGTTGGGTCTGTATCCGTTTTGCTCCCTGTGGGAAAGTAAATCAAGACAAAAGTTAAATGAGAAAAAAGAAGAGATCAGAGTGATGTGTTACTGTGGACACAAACCTCTGCAGAAGATGAGTAGAGAGGAAGGTGTGTGGGTCACTGGTGACTGGATTTCGACAGAGCTCACTGCGCGTTTGTGCAGTCACCGGAGTGCCATCCGATAAGGAGAAGCGATAGGGCGGAGTTTCTGCTCTACCATGAACATATGCTGTAACGAACAATACAAACATCATTAATAAAACAAATGTATTCGGTCTGTCAAATCCATTTCACACTGCATGCAAAAGCAGCATCAATTTATTCCAGCGCCCATATAAATAAGTTACACAATTCACACTTCCACACACTGTCTTTTCATATCTTTTCTGAAACCACATCAAGCTATTTCACCATTTTTTACACCTAGCAGAATTTAAGATCAAACTGATCAATGTAGTTTTTGCACAGACGTGTTATTATTGATACTTTTTCATTTTTTATTAAGCGTCTATTACGTACTTTTGTCCAAAAAAAAAGGAAATGTTAGGTACAACACAATTAATTTGATCATGTTATTTTGCAAAAGTGTACTTTCTGCAGGTAGATTTAAAACTTTAAAGGGTCACCAAACACCAAAACACATTTTTTGTGAAGTCTTTGAGTGTGCTGCATTCATTCATGAAAAAAACTTGGATCAAACTAATCAGCGCGCTCTATTGTGTATGCAGCGCAACACCAATAATTTGTCAAATAATTTGATTACTGATATCTATGTAAACATTCACTGTCTTTCTCCCCTGCATCTGTGTGTTTGTTTTGCCTCTTAGAAAATCAGCGTGTGCTCAAATCGAAACTCTCATTTTTATGCAAATTTTTATGCACTTTCCCTCCTCCAACATCCCCCCCCCCTTTTTTTTTTTTGTTTGATGCACTTGTGCTCAACCCCTCTCACTGGCAGTGCTGTGATAAAACAAAACACTACTGGAGAAGCTACTCGATGTCCCACCCTCTCATCGTGTTTTGGTTTAGATTACGTCAAAAATGCATGTTTCAATGCACTTCATGGGGCCTTTAAAGGGATAGTTCACTCAAAAATGGAAATTGCCATCATTTACTCCTTCACCTGTTTAAAATCAGTTAGAGTTTATTTTTTCTATTATAAAGCATTACAAAATGCAAAAAAAGATATTTTTAAAAATGCTGGCTGATGGGAGACAGTAAATAATAATAATGACAATTCCTTACATTTATATAGCGCATTTCTGGACACTCCAAGCAGGGGGGGGATTGGCTCATCCACCACCAGGAGATGAAGCCAATTATGATACGGGCATATATGGCCAGGATGCCGAGTTTAAACCCTTACTCTTTTTCGAAGGACATCCTGGGATTTTTAACACTACTTCCAGCAGCAAACCTAGCTTTCCCATGTGGTCTCCCATCCAGGTATTGACCGGGTGCAGTCCTGTTTAGCTTCAATGGGCGACCATGTAAGAGTTGCAGAAAGCTAGCTTCCAGCTAATGATTATGGTGAACTAGCTAAATGATGATTATGGTGAACTATCCCTTTAGGACATTTTGTAAGACAAGTAATGGAAACTGAATAGATAATTTGAAGGGCACATAATATGGAAATATGTTCCCTAAATGTAAATTTCAAACTCCAATTTCAAGTTTATTTGTCATACGCACATCAACACACGGCCAACAATACAATGAAATGCTTAGGACGAGAAGAGCCAGGCAACTTGTACATGTATGTGGGTGAGTGTGCGTGTTGTGTGTTTGTATATATGTGGATAATGGGTGTGTGAGTGTATTTATTGCAAATAATTTTGTGTATTTGGTCACAAATGGATACAATAAAATACACATAATGAAGACTGTATTGCACAATGTCAAAAATGATTTAATGTCCTAGTGTACTATGTAATACTTTATATTTATTTTGACTGGAATTTAAATGTGTTGTTTGTTTGTTTAATGAACATCTAAAACATTTTTGTTGCTTTAATAAATTACCTTGGCACCACATTTCAGAAAAGTACAACAAAAGAAGAGATGTTAAATTGCAAACCTGCTTCTTTATCTCATCTGACAACCATAATCAATCTCTAGATACATTTTCTTCTTTAAGCCACAAACATTGATAGCTGCTTTTGCTACTGGAGCAAACAGGAATGCAAAAACAACATCTCACCAAATATAAGGTTCCACATCTGAGAACCCTGGAAATGAGAAGAAAATCCCTGCAAGTGTCTGTCCACATACCTTCATGATAATGTCTCTTGTATGACCAGGGCTGACCCTCACTGCGATGCAGGAACATCTGCATACAGCGGCGCACTAAATCCTCCCAGCCAGGACGCATGGTGGTATGCAGAAGACTCTGCTGCTCGATCTCAATCAGTTTACCTGTGGACAAATACACACACTCAGATATACTACTAGACTGGTTTTACACTTCTGTATATACTGTGATATAATAGCTATACAATTTTTTGTTTCAGCAAGTAATATTCTATGATATTTTTTTTGTTAAATAAAATAATAAATGTGTTGAATTATTATAAAACATGAACTAAAATATGATTTATTTGATGAGGGTATTGCTGTTTAGCAGTGTTTTATTCATTTATTCATAATTATTCGTATATCACTACATTTCTAACTATTTAAATTTTTTTTTACATATTTATATCAAAAACAAAATATATCAGTGCTATATTACAATGCATTTATTGAAAAGATAACAACATAGACAACTGAACGATTCAAAGTAAAAAATAAAAGTATTTTTAGCAAACTAGAAAATCATCATATAATATTTTTATTATTAAAATATTATTTTTTCTCAAATTCTGTTTTATTGTTTTTTTCGTGCATTTCATTTTCATGATTTAGACAGGTTTTAAATAAACTATAAGCATGTCAAATAAATAATTTAATAACTGAATATATGGAATGAATGAATGAATGAATGAATGAATGAATGAATGAATGAATGAATGAATGAATGAATGAATGAACTTTTAAGATTTAAAAAAAATGTAAATAGTTTTTTTCTGGATTATAAAACTAGTGGTAATCATAAGAAGAATTTATTTAAAAAAAATATACAAATACACACATTCACACACAATAGATATTTAGGCCTTCTGTACAAATTATAAATCAATGCAAATGCAATATAAATCATGGAAGAAAAAATGGTGGGATTATCCCACTTGATACTTGAAATAATTTTATTATTATAAATATTACAATTGTGATTATTATCTTAAAACATGCATTCTGCAGTAAAGTAGTAATATAATTTCTGCCACAATTTAAAAGTAAATCAAACTCTTTTTTTTTTTTTTTTTTTTTTTTTGGACAGGATGTTATGACCTTTAAGTGTGACCTTTATGTTTACACAACAATAATATGCATATAACGGACCATCTGGCTATGAGTTAGTAACCATATTAACAAGATTAACATCAAGTTGAATGGCTATCTATTTTACCTGATAATTCATGTCTGGTGCTGAATCGTTCTGTCCTCTCCACTGCGGTCACTCTCCGTGCTACACAAATCATACATGACTGCAGGTCTGAAAGAGAGAACAACACTACTGTTGAACAAAACTAAACTCCCTCTAAATACACCACTACCTCACTCAATGGAAAAAGAAAATGTAATCTATTTAACTGACCTTCTCCTTCCTCCATCATTGCTTTAGGCTGTGTGAGAGCAAAACACTGCATGGTCTCATAGCGTGGCCCACCAGCCCCTTCTTCACCTCCAGGACCACCATGTCCAAACTTTACCAGCATACGGCAGTTAAACGTGTGGCTCTTCTGACGGGACGAATCACCTCCCCATGACACACTGTTGGGGCCTAAACATAAAGTTAAAATAGCACAAATTTTAGGTTTTAAAATTTTTTATTTATTGGCACAATTTGAGAATGCATATACTGTTTGAACAATGTTGTTTTTGATATCCATTATTTAAGTTGAGACAGATGTTTCTGGGTACAAGCCTCGAATTATTTGAACTGAGAAAACCTGATTTTTGCACACAAAGGCATTGCGATTTAAAGAGATCACTCAAAACATTTCATTATAATTTTCTCACACTCAAATGGTTCGAAGTTTGGTGCATTTCTTTTTAATGTTGAACACAGAACAAGATATTTAGAGGAATGTTGGAAAAATCTATAGTAGGAACAAAAAAGCTTTTTTCAACATTCTTCAGTATATCTATCTTACATTGTGCTCAACAGAAGAGGGTTTGGAACAAGTAGAGGATTAGTAAAGGATGGTAAAATGTTTCATTTTAGAGTGACATACCCCATTAAGGATGCTTCTTATTTTTTGCAGTAAATGCAAAATGTTAAACCATAACTTTACTTTGATTTAAGACCTTTGTAGGGCCTCAAATAATGTATGATTAATGTAAGACTTTAAGAGTTTAAAAACAGTTTAAATATAATAATACATTCAATATTCACAGTTAAAGGCAAAATTATAAGACTTTTCAAGTAAATGTAAACAATGCAAACAAATAAAATTAGTTTTTTTCTAATATTATTTAATAGAGCAAGAAGATTTTTCACAGCATATTACTTTTATCTTCTGAAAAAAGTTTCGTTCTTTTAGTGTGGCTGGAATAATTTCTCTTTTATTCACTTTTATTATTATTATAATTACACTTTTATTATTTTAAAAATAAAATTAAGGTCAATATTATTAGCCCCCATTTTTTTCTGACTGATTACAGAACAAACAGATGTCGTCCAATGACAAGGCCTGTCACGGTATCTCTATTTTGTTGTTCAATATATTGCACCAAAATATATTGTGAGAAACAAAATTACTGAAACAGAATCACAGTATAATATCATTAAATGCAAGTAAACTTTTCCAAAGAACACATCATATTTTCTAAAGAATATTTCATTTAATTCTAGTCATTTTAATGGTTTAATAATTAGGCATTGAAATCAAAATGTGAAAACGTATGTCCTAACTAAATAATAACAAATGTTAACAAAAAAAGTGCAAAATAAAAAAAGTAACAGCGCCTGTAATATCTGCTACACGATCTATTTTCAGTTGTCAGACATCCACATGAAAACATACTATAGTAATTTATAGTACATACTATAGTGTTTCTAACCACACACCTCCAATAAAGATAGAAAGGTTGTGCACTAACCTAAAATGTGGTTAGAATTGGTTTTTATGTGTGGGTGATGTATATTGCATCACCAAAAATGATGTCTTTGTGCTGTGCGATAAGTCGATATATTGATTATGAAGACAGGCCAACCATTGACTTGCCTAATTAACTTAACTTCCTCAGTTAACCTAATTATTTAGTTAAGCCTTTAAATAGCACCATCTGCTGAACTCTTTCAAAAAAGCTCGTAAAATATTATGCAGTGCCATCATCATGGCTAAGTCAAAAGAAACTAGTTTTTAAAAATTAGGTAAAACTATGCTAATAATATTAATCCTCTCTATGTAATTATTTTTTTTAAAAATTTAAACAAATTCATAGGATGAATTAATTTATAATATGGCTTTCAACTATATTTATTGTTTAACACCATATCAGCATCCATGTCATCCATGGCAAACTCAAAGGCAATTATAAGTATAGTGTAAAACATGAACACTATGTGCACGAGAAATATGTAATCATTTTATGTATAATTCATGTACATCCATGTTATTTTTTTGTTGTTTCACCTTGTCATTACATTTCAGAAAACGAACATGAAGTCTGAGGGAGTAAATACAATTTCGAGATCTCTCTTTGACTATTAATATATTTTATCGGTTCTTTTAATGATTGAGTAAATGGGAATACAAACTTTCCTCAAAAAAGGCTCTCTCATTCAGCACAATACACTTTCTGCTGAAAATGAGAACAATTTGGACTCATTTGAATTGGGAAAACTCTGATGTAAAACTCCTCTAGTCGCATATATCTCAATAACTGGTGTCTCTAAACTCGCTGCATCCCAGATAACAATATTTTAATAAATTATAGCAGACGAATCATTGAATCATGGATATAAACATCCTAATAATTTAATCAAAATAATTTCTAACATTTATATAGCGCTTTTCTAGACACACAAATCGCTTTACACATTTTTGGGGGGAATCTTCTCATCCACCACCAGTGTGCAGCATCCTCCAGGATGATACGACAGCAGCCATATTGCGTCAGACCACACACCAGCTGATTGGTTGAGAGGAGACAGAGTGAAGCCAATTATGATATGGGGATGGTTAGGAGGCCATGATGGACAGAAACTAACACCACTTCCGGCAGCAACCTAGCTTTCCCATGTGGTCTCCCACCCAGGTACTGACCGGGCGCAGCCTTGCTTAGATTCAGTAAGCGACCATGTGAGAGTTGCAGAGAACTAGCTGATTTTCAACATTATTAAAGCACACTTTGAACATAAACTAGTCCCATTTGATGTTCACTTTTGGAATCTCTGAGCATTTGGACCCAAAAAACTGTGACATCAGACTAAAAAGAAAAGTGAAGACAGCAGCTTTCGTACCATTGCTTTTGGGCAGGTTTTTATGCAGTTCTTCCCGGTCTTCTTCATGCAGGATGTTGTAGATGCTGGTGTTGATCAGCTCCTCCTGTTTATACTGCAGGTACTGAGTCACATTATCCGACACAAACACAATGCTGCCTTCACGGCTCACCACAAACAAAAACCCATCCAACGCCTGCAAGACAGACAGAGAGAGAGACTTTAAAAACACTTTCATTAACAATAAAACCTCAGAAAGCAAAGTACAAAATATTACAAGACACTATCCGAGCACCAATTAAATAATGTCATCATCTCTTCATATAGCGTACATAAAGCTTCATTCAGGCAATTCATTCATTCAAGTATACGTTCAAATCAATTCCCTGTGTGTTCAAATAATGTACATTCCATTATAAAAATCTACATTTGTATTGTGTATATATTCAGTTGAAAGCAAAATTATTAGGCCTCCTGTGAAATTGTAATTCTTTTTTAAACAATTCCCAGGTGATGTTTCACAGAGAGATTCTCTCAATCCATTTTCTAATAAATCATTTCTAATAACTTAAGTTATAATGTAGCTTAAAATGCAATTTAAGGGCTTAATTAGGTTAACTGGGTGGCACGGTGGCACAGAGGATGTTACTGCCGCCTCACAGCAAGAAGGTCACTGGTTTGAGCCCTGGCTGGGTTTGTTGGCATTTCTGTGTAAAGTTTGCATGTTCTCCTCAAGTAAAAACATACTGTAGTGCATCTGTGTATGTCCTGGTTCTCTAGGTTGAGGGTTCAGCGTTGGGCTGACGACCCATCTCGTAAAAATTAGATGTTTTGAAACACCAACATGGTGTGGCTAAAAATCTACTTGGATACAAAAGGCCATAAATAAATAGCCCAGGAAGTAAGTAAATATTAAGGTTAACTAGGCAAGTTAGTTTTTATAAGGCAATTCATTGGACAAAAGTGTTTCTTTCTGTTATAATTTCTTAAGGGGTTAATAATACTTACCTTATTATTTTTTTTTATTAAAAAAATGTTTTGGTTTGGTGAAGAAAAAAAAACAACAACTTTTCCATACGAAACAATATTACAGTAAGTACTGTGAAAATATATTTTTTCTGTTAAACATTACCCTGGAAATATTTGTTTAAAAAATAATAATAATAATTTCACAGGAGAGCTGCTGATTTTTTTTCAATTATACACTACTGGTTAAAAGCTTGGGGTCAGTTGTTTAGTTGTTGTTTTTCATGTTTTTTCCCCATCAAGGCAATATTTATTAAATGGAAATAATTGTTCAATATTTATTTAAATTTTAAATAACTGCTTTATTATTGTATTTAGCTTCAAATTAAATTATTACTCCAGCCATCATTGCTTTTATTACTAAAAGCATTGCTTTTATTAATCACTAGAATAAATTAAATTATTAACTACTATTGAACAGTTATTTTATACTGCAATAACATTTCACAATTTTATTAAATTTGATTAAATAAATGCAGCCTTGGTGAGCAAAATAAGCTTATTTTAAAACATTTAAAAATCCCACTGACCCCAAACTTTTGACCGGTATAATATTAGTATTGCATCATTTATTAATAGGTTTTAAATAAATATACAGTTGAAGTCTGAATTATTAGCCCCCGTTAGATTCATTTTTCTCTTTTTTAAATGTTTCCCAAATTATGTTAAACAAACCAAAGGATTTTTCACAGTATGTCTGATAATATTTTTTCTTTTGGAAAAACTCTTATTTGTTTTATTTTGGCTAGAATAAATGTGGTTTTTAATTTTTTTTATCCATTTTTAAGGACAAAATTATTAGCCCCTTTAAGCAATATATATTTTTGATAGTCTACAGAACAAACCATCGATTTACAATAACTTGTTTAATTACCCTAACCTGCCTAGTTAACCTAATTAACCTAGTTAAGCCTTTAAATGTCACTTTAAGCTGTATAGAAGAAAATAGTTATTAGAAATTAGTTATTAAAACTATTACGTTAAAAAAAAAAAAAAAAAATCTTCTCTCCGTTAAACAGAAATTGAGGAAAAAATGGGGGGGGGGGGGGGGGGGGCTATATTCTGACTTTAACTGTACATATATATATATATATATATATATATATATATATATATATATATATATATATATATATATATATATATATATATTTATTTATTTATTTATTTATATAAACCTCTAAAATGCCACTGGTGCTTTACAAAACACAGTTATCATAATTGCTCGGGATGCTAGTATGAGAAATGAGCAAATGTTCTTCTGGTGACCCTTAGGTCTCTAATCTAACCTGCAGCAACAGAGGGCCCAGATGGTCCTTGTCGATGACCCCTTGACCAGTGGAGGACACATCCGCCTTCTGGACATCATCATCACCACATGAGCTTTTACCTGTGTCACGTGGAAATGTAAAGCATGTATTAGAAGTGGTTTAGAAAAATAGCAGAGAATATATTAGCACTGATTAACACTGATGATAATAAAACTATTATAATAGTAACAAGAGAGTCATGAAAGAATTGGCATATTAGAACAATTACTAAAAGATCATGTAAAGGGTCTAACATTTGGCAAGTTTTAATGCAGGTAAAAAGACAATTGTAAAAATCACAACTACATGAATATATATTCAGATGTGCAGCACTGTGATCTTTTCACAGAGGCAGCTCATGAAAACAGTGTTTTCACAGTCTCGGTTTACAGTAAATGCTACTCAACACCAAGTCCATTTCTTTAAACGCGAGTCTGAATCATTTATAATGTGCATCTGAGAATGCATTATGGGCCAGCTTCGGAAAGCTGTTTTGCCATCTGTTGTCAACAACAAAAAAAAGTGTATTTCAATGTATAAATATAGCTAACTTATGTAAATATTATTTAAAAATTTTTTTTTTTTTTTATTCAACAATATTTTATCAAACTGGGCTTGGCTCGGTCAGAAGCACCACTGAAAGCCTCCATCATCCAGGTTAAGTTTCTGGAGGAGTTTATGAGCTCATAGAGCTGGATGCACCACTGAAAGGATCTAGTGGACTCAGACACGACCCTAAACGTATCGACACTGTTTTTCAGCCTTCATAAAACACATAAACACTGTTATTTTCTTAATAAAATCCATGTTAGTCATTTAGCAACCAAGCTGGAGTCAACGGGCAGACAGAAGCACTCCCCATCACGCGAATACGCATCCGAATAGAGCGATTTATCCCCGCGTGCCACGTCTGGTGTGAAGCATAATACTTTTAAGACAATACTTTGATTAACCACGTAAACGGTGATTTTTCTATTAATTTAATCTAATTAAGGTTATAATCAAACTAAACAGAAATCGAATTAAGTAATGTGGAGTATGCTGATTTTACAAACATTATTGAAGTGCAGTACAGACATGTAACACCTTAATCAAACTATTAAAGTCATGTAGGACTTTTCTCTGCATTTTGCGACAGGAAATTTCATACACACACAGCTGTTTGACACTATAGTCTGCACCTATCAAGTCAGTAAAGGACCACAGACATGAGCATCGAGAAAGTGACGTTTTTTTTTTGCATACAGCATGTGGTCTCAAATTCCATTAAAACAACACTCATCCACCAGTCCTTAATTGACGCATCAGTATCTCAGTTTTTCACTGGGCATGAATGAAATTTTCCTAAATGAAAGTGAAACTGCTGAACAGCAGTTAACTTTGAAACTCTATGTGCAGCCATCTTGACCAGGTCACACTGGAAGAAGAGATAGTACTGTCTCAGTGTGATCTTCTGGCTAAATAAAGGAAATAAAAATGATGAAGATGAGGCAACAACGTTTATCGATCTACAGTATGTGCTATAACATGTAAAACGGGATCATGAAAGGAACATTTAAAAAGTAACTCATGTAAACACCTTAATCCTAGTATTGCCTTATTCAGATTGAGGCATATAATTGTATATTCTCAATAATATTCTCAACAGTGCTTAATATTCTCAACAGTGATTAGAACACAGTATAGTAGGGCAACAGCTTAAAAGAAGAAAAGACACGTTTCATTATTTTACATAGATTTAAAGAATTTCAAATGAGGATAAATAAACAACGCCTATTCATCGTTTTGCTGAGTGAACTCTGGGTTATAAAGTCCAAATCAAAAAAAGGCATGTACAGGCCTGTCCCACAAGACAAACTTGTGCAGACTACAGCCCTGAATGCAATGTATAATTATGAGAGGGATGAAAACAAGTCTGTCATTGTACAAATTCTCACAACAAACATTCCTACAAATATAAACTAATACATTTCCATTTATAAGAAATTATTTATTATTTACTGCTATATAATCCAAATACACAGTACAGCAATTAAAAGATAAACTTTTTAAATATCTTCAAATAAGTAATTTTATTAATAAAAAACAGCATCATTCTCCCATTTTGTCAGATATATCGTCTTTAGAATATATTAATTTAAAACATTTTGATGGGGGTGGACAAATTTCTTTATTTCAGATTAATTTGCACTAATTGCAAGGAAAGTACAGAAAATAAACCTGTGGCACGGTGTCAAGATATGAGAGAGAGAGTATCACAGAAACTGAATGGCAGAGTATCTGGCTGAAAGCACAAACCTAGACAATTAATACACGATTCAAACATCTGCAATAAAAATGGAATATGAGACTGTACATAACTCAGGAGTTACTTCACAAAACATTACTGATCAATGCGCAAAATGCAATAATAAGATAGGAACTCTATATCATTGTTTATGTAAGTGAACATTTTTGGCAGAAAATTCTAAACTTTTTATCTATAGTATTAAAACATGATATACCCAAATGTCCAAAACTGTGTTTTCTAAATATTTTTTATATTACAAGCGCGTTTACTAGTTCAGATAAGAAACTGTTAACTCATTTATTACATGAAAAACTTATAATAGCTTGTTTTAGGAAAAAATACAGAAAGTCGCATTTTGGACAATGGTTGCGGAAATTGTCTTGTTGTTTGGCTTAAAAATGATCTTATATAGCCAAGAGAAAACCTGTTTTATTTTTCACATTTGGGATCCCTTTGTAGGTTTCCTGAAGGAAGCTGACACAAATGTTTTCTCTGTACAACTTGACTTACCTGCTAGTGATATACCGTCGTGGTTATATGATGTACCTTTATATTGTATGTGTGAGTACATGCATTTACTTATAAATATATGTTTGTATATTTCTTATTATTTTGTTATTTATAGAATTTTTTTTTCTATTTTTAATGTTTTACTTTTCACTTATTATTCTTATTATTATTATGTTTGGTTTTGATTTCTGCTGTACATGTTAAAAGCTACTAAAATATAAGATAAAGACAGCGTTTAAAAAAGTACATAATATTTTTGATCACCAGAAAATGTAGTAAATGTGTTAAAAATGACTAAGAATCACTCAATTTAAATGGCAAAAACTGCATCAACACAACATTCCACCAGCCACCAGGTGGCAGCGTTTTAAAGAACCAAAGAAATTCATCAGTTTCCACACACTGTGGGCTTAGTAAATATTTTCACAGACTGATATGTAAAAGGGCAGCTCGAGCAGATGTGTACCTTGCTCTTTGATCTGGCGTATCTGGCGCACTGTCTCTTTAAGGATGGCACATTTGTCTGGTTTGACATTGAAGCTGTCGATGTCACTAAGGTTGGCTGAAATCAGCTCAGCCAGTTCCTCGATATACTTGCTCTCCTGTTCCCTCCTGCGCTTATCACATCTGGAGACAAACAAAAACACACAATTTAAGAAGATGAAACGCACCTAAACACCAACAATAATGCATTCATTCAAACAAAAAAAAAAGTCTCACCCTTGTCCTGGTGTGTCACATGTGGAGAGTTTGCGCTTCCTGTCCGAGCACAACGGCTCAAGTGAGTTCTCACCCACTCCACTCATGCTTAAAACATATCAGCACCTAAAAAAACACATAAAACACACAAAGTTTAGACTGGGTGTACATCCATCCAAGAGCTTAAAACGAAAGGACAACAAAACAAGCACTTCCTTTCCTTTACAAACAAATCATTTGCAATTGTACACAATGCACTTGAAGGCTTCATCTCTCTCCGAAAGGTTTTGGTCAAAATCTGCATGTGTGTGTGCACGTGTCTATCGCTTATTTTGAAGTGTTCCCACATACAGCTGAATGCGCGGAATGTTCCATGCCTCAGCAGCAGTGCTCTGTGTGTGTATGTGTGTGTGTGTGTGTGTTTGTGTGACAGTGTGTCTGAGAAGAGACACTGATTATGATGGAGTGAAACGGGGCCCCAGGGGAAATGGATCAACCCTCAGTGTGTGTGTGTGTGCGCGTGTGGGTCTGGGTCAATTATCTCAATCCATGAAGCCGTGCGCTGCACAACATATAAATGAAATGTATAAATGATCTAATTAAAAAGCAGACTAATGAATCTGAATTGCCCTAATACTGAATTAAAGAGAATGTGGTGAAGAAGCACTCTCCTAAAACGCATGTCAGAAATGTTGTGATACAATATCCGTCCTCCACAAAGCTGGTTATGACACCATTTCTTCCTACTTTTACCGTCATTGCTCCGCCCACTTCACCAATGAAAACACTTCCTCCAATGTAGTGACACTTGTCTGCCTATTCCTGTATGTCTGTGCTTTTTTTGTCCCCAAGTTACAGTGACAAAATTTATTATCGTCATTGCATCAGGTACAAAATATCAAAGCAAGTGGCATTTCCTTGAAAGGTGAAGCGTATGATTTTTGTGCCACTGGTAGGGTAGGGAAAAATATTGATTGCGATCTTCTACAACAGACTCAATATTGATTTTATGATCGCACAGGCCGTTTCCCGAAACTACTGAGTACTGTGAGTAGTGACAAGTGAAAAAACAACTGTTTAACCAGCATGCTGTGAGTTTCAGTCTGAAAGACTTCTGTGAGTTGATTTGGTAATTTGAGGCAAAAATATGAAATAAAAATAAAATGTTTAAATAAGAAAATAACACAATAAGATAGCTTTGCAAAGTTTTCTTTTTTTTTTGCTGGTAGCCATGTTGGTTTAGGCTGGTTAAAATCATTTAGACACTACTCTCAGCAATGTGGAGGGTCACTAATAGTACATTGCTACTCGGGTACTTTTTTAACCCCTATTAAACAAAACCAGGGTCTTTTAAGTAACCAACTGAAGAAGGGCAGCATGATTAAATCGAAACGAGATTGCAATTAATGAAAAACTGTGAGTGCTATGCACATCTTCACAAGTATAAACAGTTGTGAATTCAATAGTCAATGTCCTCCAAAAGCTAGAGGGCGCTCTCGTATGCAGAAATTCCAAACATCCTTCCTATAGCGGTTGTTGAACAACAAGAAGATTTAACTGCTTTCATTGATTAATGTGATTAATGAACACACAACTATGAAATCAAACAAGGACTTTCTTCAAACTAATGTTGTCACAATACCAAATTTCTAACCAATCAGAACAGACACTTAAAAACATCAATTTCCCGCTAACATTTAAGCGCTGTAAACAGTGTTCTTAAACACCACTAAATTGCCACTAGCTATGTTTCAATCCAAAAATGCAAATGAACTTTATGCGCAAAACTGGATTATCGCATAAAAGACGTGCAAATAAAGCTGCGTTTCCATCCAACGAGTCAAAGGAAAACAAAATCCTCACTTCCTGATTAACTGGCGCCAAATACCAACAGTAAAAACTGAATTTGCTGCAGTAGGGGAAGCTGCGTGAATCTTTTCTTCATCTAATAAATGACTTGCGCCTCAGAAGGCAATTCTGACGTGCAGTGAACGTGCGGTGGCGTTTGAAGGTGTCAGATGCGGAGCACAGACACTTTTAATTCTGGAGGTTATTAATAGTATAATAACACTAATACTTAAATAGTAAGGCATTTTAGAATGAAAAAAAAAACAACCATTCAGATGTTTTACATTGTGCTCAGTCTGCTGGTTTGTCCATTTACACACATTTTCATCATCACATGATCTCATCACAAAATCACATGACCTTTTTTAATGCGCATACTGAAATTTGTGCAGTAAAAGTGTTTCCATCGTAGTTTATGCTCATCTTTTCTCATCGAATAAAAAGTTTATCCTACTCAGTTATGTGCATACGTTTTTTATGTGCATTTTCAAAATTTATGCTCATCATGGCGTTTCCATCAGCCGTTTTGTTATGCCCATTTCCAAAAGGTGCATTAAAATAGGTGGATGGAAACATAGCTATTGTGTTAACATGCTCAACAGAAAAATTGTGATTGGCCGTGAAGCACATCAATTCACCGCTGTAACACAGATACAGGAACATTAGAGCAGTTTAAAGCTCTGAAGATCAGTCGATTAATAAACAGACCCAGCTGATCTTCGCAGCTTTGAACAGCTCCAGTGTTTGTATCAGTGTATGTACACTGAGAACAGTGGTGAACAGATGACCAATCACAGTCATTTTGGTTGATCACATAAACACAATGGCAAATCAGTAATGTTTAAGAACACCCTCAACATCGCTTAAATGTTTGAAAGAAATGGACGTTTTTAAAATCTCAGTACTGATTGGTAGTGAAACTCATTGGTAGTGAAACTTTAATGCAACTTTTTGACTACTTTAAACTGAAATTCTAAAGTGACATTGAAGTAATAACTTTATTAAATGTGGAGCAACAAAGATATCCACAGATTTACACAGACTTTAAGCCATTATCAGTGATTAGCCATCATTGAGTCTATTTATTTACTTGTGATTGTGGGTAAATTTGTATTAATTCACTTTTTAAATGAATTTTTAGTACTATTATTGACGAATATGCAAATGTACATTTATTTACAACACAGTTTGTAAAGTAATATTTTCTGTCTTTTAGTATGAGGGGCTTGCTTTGTTTACCAAATAAGTGGATCTAATTGGATTTGAATTGTAAACGTTAAATAAAAGTTAAAACTCGTTATATTTCATTTCATAAGTTAAGTTTAGTTACAACACTTACAAAATCATTCACAAACATTCTGCGCAGAAATAGCTAAAAATGTTCAAAAATTCTGTCTGGCCCTAGACATAATTCACTGAGAAACTACGCAAACAGCTGTCATTATGACAGAATGATGAATGTGATTTTGCATATCTTGTCAGTAAACTACAACTCTTTGTGTAGTAAATTCTGCTGGGGCAAAAATTGACTCAAAGGATAACCGCTGAACCCTAAATGTGTACAGCCTTCATGAAAATATGAAAATAAAAGATTATATTTTTCTAATTTTAGAAAAAGTCACCAAAATCCAGGATAAAAAAGGCAATTGTTTGGGTTTATTTGGTTCATTTTTGACCAGTAAGTCACCAGGAGGGTTAGTCTGACCCTTCTGACCACCTGCTATTGATCACCTAAACAAAAAGTTCCACCCATAACACAAAACAAATGTATGTTAGGTCACAAATACAGTTTAGTAATTTGGATGCATTTTTAGTTGTGATGCACAACTTTAAAAAGCATAAAGAGTGTAAAAGCACTGTCATATGCGGTCAATAGAAGCTCTCATAGAATACTTTAAGAAAGAGTGTGAACTACAATTTTGGTTATTCTGCTAGGACATATGTTTGAACTTCAAGTGAAATGTCTTCATCTATTCACTAGAATTCACCTTGGAGTCAGTCAAAAGTAAACCACACACACACACAAACACAAAGAAAAGCTGCTCAGAAAAGTCGCTCTGTTTGCATTGTCCAGAAGCCTTCATATATAACTGCACACATGGCCGTCTCTAGCTTTTATTTGATTCCCTCTGGTTTCTGCTGTTGTTATCAGTCTCTGTCACTCTGGTCATAGACCCTCCGCTGTATGCGTGCATGTGTGCGAGTGTGTTTGTTTAAAGCCCTGACCTTGCCCCGCGCCTGACCCCTCCCAGAGTTCAGCGGAAATCTCAGAGCACAGACCATCGGCTTGCAGTCTTTTCCCCTTCCCTCACTGAATACACACATGCAAACAACCTTTTCCCCTCCGTTAATAATAACAAAAACAAAACAAAAAGTTCAGAGAGTTTGCATTAAAAAAAATGACATTTTTGCTTATTTGCATAATCTCATGCCATGTCAAACACATACAATTTGACATTTTGACAGTCACATAATTGACATTTTCATGATTTTTTTAAAAATGAATGGAGACATCGTAAAAGTAATCCAAATCAATCAAGCAGCTTACTACAAGTCATCTAAATAGATATGACTTTTCTTAAATGATGAACAGAATTAATTACTTTTTTACATAAAACCACTGATCAACATTGACAAGAGATGCATAAAAATATTTTCCAAATAAGAGCAAAAGTCATCCAGGGTTGGAATGACACGAGTACGTAAATGACGACAATTTTGACTTCTGGGTAAACTATCTCCAAGTAAAACACACACAGTTTGCCCTCTGTCACCTTAAAACTATCAATATGAGCTCATCATTCCTGAGTCCGACTGAGAGACATTACACAACAGTACTCACACTGCACTGCCTGTGCTGACTCGTACAGCTGTCTGTCACAAACCTACCGGGGGAGAAAACAGAGCAGAAGCGTATGCATCTTCCAAACTTTTCCTTACTTCACTTTTAGCCCTTTTCACCCTTTCTCTTTGTGCAGTGGAGGAAAAGAAATGATAAACGGATAATAACCATTTATGACTGTTGAGGTCAAGGCAACATTTAGAAATAAAGTTAAACCAGTAAAGGAACATTTCAGCCAAAAGTCTTGATATAATCACCTTCATGCCATTCTAAATATTGCTTTTTCTCTGTGGAACATAAGTGAGGATATTTTTATCTAAGTTTGAGTTGTCAGACTCTATAAAAATGACATGAAAACACCCTAAATCCATCACAAAAGCAGCCAATAGTCTACATTTTGTGGAGAAAATCTTAAACTTCTAATGCCATTAGACTG